TTTATGTAAAAGGATTTGGTTAGAAAAGTATTCTTATAACTTAAATAATGTGTTGCATACATACAAATTCTCCTTAACAATGTAACAGTTACAAATAAACGGTATTTAAGACGCTATAAGACGGTATTTAAAATGATTGAAGATTAAAGGCTTAGGTGGCTCAAAGGAAGCACTTACTTAGTTGTCGCTTTAACGACTTTGTCAAACTTAGGATAGTTCTCTTGAAACATCTTGAACAAGAGAAAACTCTGCGCTAATATAAGTTTACACAGGGTATATACAAACTCAGGGGAAAGTCGAGTTAGTGTGTTTGGACCAAAGGAACAAACACATGTATACAAACAATGTATCCGTAGATTTTGAGCACATTGAGCTACTAACTACTAGCTTAGTACACAAGTGGTGACGTGTAGGCCAAACCATATAACAGAGGATCAGATGTTTTAATTTTGCCAATTCAAAATGGGGGCCATTAAACATTTTCTATCTTAGATGTCTTAAAAACTATTGAATACACGGGAAACCCTATTAAGTCTCCAGTGTGGTAAATAATGCCACTATTTTTATATGTTAGACATTACGATACCGTACTTGTATCCATGGCTATTACAAATTAATACAAATTGAATTTTGTGACATGAGATTTGCAAAAAAAATAGGATTTAACGAAATTGTGATTTGAAATCGTTACCTAGCTACGACCAAATGTTAGTAACCAAGGTGACAACAACAATAATCATCATTCATTCAATTATTAGGTATCATTTAACGTTAGATTGTCATGTTAAAACTTATTATCAATTTTTCGTTAGAAACAATGTCTGCTTCACTATAATTATAGCAATGAATTAATACAAATATCAAATAAACTAGTTTGTATAAATTAAATCCAAATGAGGTAAATCAACGTCAATATCCTGTGGGAGATTTCATGCTTACATTGTAACAAGAGAAAATAATTGATTCTCGAAACTCATCAGCTTGTTGCCAATATTATCCTGCTTGAGGCAGAGTGTTCATGTGGAACAATCCATGATGTAAACACAACATAATCTCTGCAAACTCGATAAAGTAATCAAGGACAAGTAAACTCTAAATGTCAATGGAATTCTGAAATTAATAGCCTTTGGTTTTGTCAATTGCATTTACGATTTTTAAAAGCCATATCACGAATCAGGATAGACGTTAATATTAATCAAACATGTATAGGCCAAGTACGGCTTACTTTATGACAAAACATGGTGGCTAGTTGGTCGTGCATTGTTAAAAAATAAAGTAAAATCATTTAATCACAAAACCAACATAAACCGAGTTTCAAACACCTCAGGTGTTGTTTCTCATTACAATGCAGACCGTCGATGTTTCTCCTCAAAATGACGCTTCTAATTTCCTGCTATTCAGTCATTTCCGTTTACAATCTGATTTTTAAAGGGCTACAAGCGTTTTTTGTTCATTTGACTTAGAAAGTTCATCATTTTCCAATGAGATTGTCCAAAAAATATTGAGCTGAATTAAATGTTCATACCAATACTTATTTAGACTTTAATAATTTTACTCTTTGCCATAAAAATTGTTTAAAAGAATCAATATATGATATTTTAACATAATTTTCCGTTTTTAAATTAATTTAATTCACCTGAATAGGTTGACTTAACGTACTGTTTTCACTAGAAAAATAAAACAAATAATTTGTTAAAGAACGGTAATTTTTATTGTTAAATAATGTCGTATAAAAAAATAAAAAAACGTATTTACAACAAAAACATCTGTTTTGGAAATTACTTTGCGTTTCCAACCCAAAACAATTTAGGTTTATAGTGTTTTTAAACTGAAACAGTCGCAATTATCTAAAAATGTGTCTAACATCTTAATACTGTTATACTATCATAATATTTTAATATTAATTATGAGATTTTTTCTAACACCATATAAAATCATTACTCCATTTTTAACTACGCATATATCCAGGAATCAAAAATCTACCATTACGTAGTACGCCTATTAACTATTATAATAGTAATAATATCACATTACTTGTAAGATATCCCGTGATCAAATTTAAAGCTTTTTCCCAACATCAGACACTTCAAGTGTAATGGATATATTTGTGGTGTTCAAGAATCCATCAATAATTTATCTTTCAACAAAAAATGTAAAAGTTTCAACAATTGGAGAAGTTTAGTTCGAGCATGTTATTGGAGACAAAAAACAATAAAATGTTATAAAATGGGTGATTTTTATGTTCTCTCTTCAGCTAAGCCGAATAAACCTCAGATAGTATAAAGCTTAAGTTACAGTTTATTCGTAAATACTTTTATTCACTGATTATCAAGAGCAGTGTGTTTTATTTTTTGGGGATGACTTTTCAACCTTGGAAGATGTTACTAATAAACACTTTAACGCACCAAACATTTCCTCTACGAAAACAAATCAAGCACTACTAAGTAACAATTTATTCAAAAGCTAAATATGGTAACAATCCAAGATTGTGGAAAATTAAATGGCTGAGAAAAGTGTTAAATCCGTTCCAAAGAAACATTCCCGGATGCAAAGAGTTGTTTTGGAGGAAGTGAAGTTCTGAAGTAACGCAATTACATGACGACAATGCCACAACACGAACCCAACTTGTCGCGTTTAGTCCCGGAGTGTCTCCGAGACAACGATTATAACTGTAGATTACATCTCCGTATAGTGAAATTATAGGATTCACAGTATATGGTATTGCTCTTGGTAACTGATGTTATATTAGATGGCTCATAGATGGCTGTCCAACGATTTCTATGTGAAGGGGGAAAGTTAATGTAAGCAACGACTTTTAATAAATGTACAATGTACATTTTCAAGGAGGAAATATGTATTTATTGAATTTTGTAGGAAAATTCCAGGCTAGATCTCCAACAGATAACAATTCCAATCTTTCGGGAGGTCTGCTGTGCTACATGCGAAACACAACAAAAATAATCAACAATTTATTTTATAAACTAGATAAAATATTTTTTTTAATATTGATAAGTGTATTACATTTAATCAGCCCTAAAAATGTCGAAACAACTACATTTAGTGCTTAACTAATATATTCTTTTAGCCACTGTAGAGCTAAAAATCAGCTTGCCTGGAATTGGTTAGCAAATCTCAATAAGAAATATCGTATAGCCACATAAAAATAACGAAATTACTATTTATCATTTTATTCATTGTTATTGTTTTAAATCTTCACAACTATTACAAATAATCGTAAATCAATGAAATAAAAAGAATGCTTCCACATCGCTTATTGATTTCAACTGCGGTTTGTCTCTAAAGGGCCGAGCGTGACATTTAGTCCATTTCCTGAAGTTGATCACATTGTGACATAAAATCAAGTGCCTTGGAAATAAAAACTGTAACAAACTGTTTATACAGTAATGTGTAATTTAATTATTGCGCTATACACTGTTGGATTAATATTATTTATTTATTTTTTCTATCTTTTTAAAATGCTATTTTAAGCTTTGTCTTTAAATTCATGAACCAATTTAGCTCAATATTGTGTGTGTTTTTTTATTAAAATTTAACTCACATTAAACTGTTTGTAATACTAGAACAGTCAAAGGGGATCTGCAGAATATTTAGTGATTGCTAAATTAATGTTAACACCAATTTTTTAATAGCCTTTGAGGGTAGAACATTTCTTTCCCGCCGAAACGTGTTACAAAATGAGTTTTAACACTTTTAATTTTCCTTGCATTCACGTTTTTGGTGAATGAAATTTTCAACATTTGTACCAAAAGTTCCACCACCAAAGTTTCAGTGGAACCAACAACCAGACGTGATCGCTGATTGGTCGATTGTTTGGTCTTGTTACTTTCATCCCTTATTTACGTGCGGACAATACACCCTTTTATACAGGACGCATGATCAAATTAAACTTATTTTCTATATAAAATGATAATTTGAATTGAGAAGTACTGGGTGATGGATGATTAAATCCAACAAGGATTTTTAAATCTACAAGACAAAGTACTCTAACATGAAATCAAACCAAATGAGGAGTAGGTCTAGATTAATTTAGTTCATAAATAAGATTCACAAAACATCTAGTACTCGTGACTACAGAAATGTATTAAATAGACTTTCCTCCTTTTGCGATGGATTGAAAGGAAGTGAAGTAGTATCTGAAGATTGGCATCGATTTCTTGTTTAAAACTTGAGTTTGTTAAGATCTTCAATTATTCGCAATATCTTTGAATTTAATTCAGGGTTGTAACATTTGCGTTATCCAGCGAGTTCTCTCTTCCATTTTTATAAGCGGTAGTTTAAGGAGGTATTGAATACAATAAACTAATTAGTTCTTGCATAATAATAGATATGGCATACAAAGGAATAAAAATATACTGTTTCATTATATAAAATGGATAATGATTTAATTAATCAAAAACATGTCATAGGTTAGAAAATTGTATTAGCTAATAGAACTTTTAAAGTAAAGAGTGAGACAATAAAAATCCATACGTATGAAATATGTTAGATACTCCCTAAGTCATAATGTTAGGTGTATTATTTTATTTAAAAACCACCTCTTCTTTATAATATGTTATGGAGATGTTTTAACTCGATTGGCTATGGACTAATAAACTTTGCAGTGAAAAAAATATTATACCAATAATTCAATTCAATTCAATTCAATTCATTTATTTCCACGGTAACACCATTTTTACAAGAGGTACAGTAAGTAGTAGCTATCAAACTCAAATTTAACAACAAATAAAGGCTATTCTGAATAAATTACAATAACAAGAACAAGAAAAACATAACAATGAAGATGGAAACCATGATAAACTTTTTAAAACAATAACAAAACAAGACTTAACAACACAATAAATACACGGTTTGGAATCCTCTAAGCAAGACATACATGACAAAAACAGATATAAATACTAAAGTGACAAAAATAAATAGCTGATCGAAGGTTGAACACAGTGCCGTTAACATGATGTAAGCATTAACTACAAATTATTTACAGAGAAGAGGCGACACAGATTGGAGCGGAAAGCAGCCACGCTGGAACGGTGAAAATCCAACACTGCGCCGACCTCGTTGCCGACCCGCAAAAGGCGAGGGATAGTGCTTCGCTGTAAATATACAGTATTGTAGTGCCTCCGCTCAAACGTATCCTTGGATCTTGTGCGGACAGGAACGTGGAATGGTATTCCTCCCAAAAGCTCAGGGCAGTCGATATTTCCACTTACAATCTTCATGAGAAACAGAGCGTCCGAAATTTTCCTCCGATCTTCCAAGCAGCATAGATTAAACTGAGATCTGATGAGATTCACGGGAGCATCAAGGTAGCGATATCCCATTCTGCAGCCAAGGACCCTAATGAAACGAACTTGAACTCTCTCCAGCGAAGATATGAGTCCAGTCTGATATGGAGCCCAGACAGGAGAGTTGTATTCGAGGGTGGGACGAACCAGTGCACGAAAAAGCAACACCAAGGCATTAATGGAGAGTCCTCGAGTGAAGCGGAAGAGAAAGCCCAGAGTGGAACTTGATTTGTGGCAAATTTGTTGGATATGCTCTCCTGGATGAAGTGTTGGAGTAGTTATTATGCCAAGATCTTTATACCTCCAAACTCTACGCAGAGGGTCGTCCCCAAGAAAATAGCCATGCTCATGAGTGTTCTGACTGCGAGAAAAGGACATAACGACACATTTAGAGGTGTTCAGACTCATTGAATTGTCAATGCACCAATTCATCACTGCATTTATTGATGACTGAAGACGAGTGAAGTCTTGAGCACTGGAGATCTCTAAGAAAAGTTTTGCATCATCCGCGAACAGAAGGAACTCAGAATCCAAGGTGTCGCCAATGTCATTTATAAATAAGTTGAATAGAAAGGGTCCGAGGTGAGATCCTTGTGGCACTCCAGATGGTACGTGGATGGGGTAAGAGTAAGCAGTCCCACATCTAACTTTTAAAGAGCGTCCCTGAAGGTAGGATCTGATAAACTGAAGCAGAGGTCCAACAAAGCCTAGGCCTTCAAGTTTGGCGAGGAGAAGCTTGTGACTAACCCTGTCGAACGCCTTAGCGAAGTCCAGATAGATGCAGTCGACTTGGTTGCCTCTTGAGAAGGCCGAAGTAATATAGTTTTGGAAAACGACCAAATTGCTTGTAGTAGATCTCCCAGTGCGGAAGCCATGTTGACGAGGCGAGATCAGTGTTTTAAATTCAAAATCGAGGCCATCAAGTACTAAGCTCTCAAATACCTTAGCTACCGCATTTAAGATGACGACCGGTCGGTAATTTTCTGGTTTTGCACGGTTGCCAGATTTGAATAAAGGCACAATAAAGCCAGATTTTAAGCACTGAGGAAATATTCCATTAGAGAAGAAAATGTTGAAGAAGATGGCGAGATGAGGAGAAATAACAGTGCTGCAAGACCTCAGTATTGATGGGGGGATGCCGTCCGGACCAGCCCCTTTGTTAGGATCCAGCTTTGAGAGTTTTTCTTCAATTGCTTCGGCAGAGATGCGCCATGATGATATTGTCTTGAAATTTACAAAGTCGAGGTTTGGAGGATCTTCATCTGACTCAGTAAAAGTTGACGAAAAGTAGTCAGCAAAGGCGTGTGAGATTTTGACTGGCTCCACAACAACAGAATTATTTACAAGGATTGAATTAGGACTAGACGACGTATTCCTCTGTTCATTGACGAAATTCCAGAAACATTTAGGGTTGTTTCTAATGGAAGTATCCATTCGATCAAGATGCCTTTGACGACACTGGGCGACCATAATGGAACATTGGGCACGAAGTAGATTGAAATTCCTTAAATGGGATTGGCTGGATGTTATCTTGTACATTTTATGGGCTTTTTTCTTCAAGATAATTAGGCGCTTCAAGTCCACTGAGAACCATCGAGGAAACGGTGATCTACCAAGCTTCATCAAGGGACTGCATGTAGATACGGCATTCGTAAGATCAGAACAAAAAGCTTGAAAATCCACTTCAGCAGACTCTATGTTGGTCGTAGGATATGAGAGCTTAGAAATCCAATCGTATACCATCAAATGGTCACAGCGTTTAGTGTCAGGGATGAACTGGATACCAGTAGATGAGGTCTGGTCTTGGATGGATATAGCCATTGATAGTGCCGGATGATCTTCCTCCTGGGGGATTAGAATGTCAAGAGCCTGCTCAACGGTCCAGTATGATACAGATGAAAATATCAAATCAAGAGTAACGCCTCGTTTGTTAGATGTGGTATTCAGTTGGTTGAGATTGAAAGTTGAAGCAAGGTCAATCAACACTTGAGACGATTTATTCACACGTGCCCCTTCAAACGAAGTCCAGTCAGTTGTAGGTTGGTTGAAGTCACCAGTGATGATTATTCCTTCAAAGAAGTGGTTAGAAAGGATCTCTTCAACTGCCAAAGAAAATTCCTCGTAAGCGAGAACATTTGCATTTGGCGGAATGTAAGCAGAACAAATTAGGTAAGATCTCGCAGAAATCTTCACACCAACAAAAACACATTCAACAGTTGAAATAGAAGTACAAAGCCTCCAAGAAGAAAATTTGTTTTCAACAGCTATCAGACATCCTCCACCAGATTGTTTATCACTTGTAGCTATGGACCTATCTTGCCTGTAGATATTGTAGTTGTGAAGTTCAAGTTCAGGAGATGAGATGGCGTCATGTAAATTAGTCTCGCACAGACAGATAATATTATAAGAGCAAGTATTCACGGTTACCTTCAATTCTTCCAGTTTGGTTCTAAGGCCATTTACATTTTGAAAGTACAAAAGGACGTTTTGAGTGTTACCGTGGAAGTTTAGGCGTTTTTTGGACTGGTCTTAAATAAGGTGGGGGCTCCGTTTATGTACTTTATAGTCAGGTCTTTTTCCCCTTTTTTAACTCTTTCATCTAGCTCATCCCGAAGTTTCTTTAGATGAGCTCGCTCTTTTTGTGTTCGATCCCTTGTCATACCAATCAAGGGTAGATCGGGATACTTTGTCTTGACGGTTTCACTTGAAAAAGTGGAGCACAAGCGTCTGACCAGAGCAGCATCCTTCAAAATGACTTTTGTGGGGCGAGCACTGTTTTCCGAAGACTTGCCCACCCGAATGCAGTTCAACCCATCAAAAGAATTGTTATCAAGAAAAAGACTTAACACCTTTTTGACCAATTCTGTGTCATGCAGGACTCTGGACTCAACTGAGGGATTGGGGCTTTCTGGTAAATTGTAGAGCATAATGTTAAAAGAACGCTTTTCCCGGTCTTTTAATTCGGCAATAATATCTTCAGATCCAAATGAAGGGGCAGAGCTGGTGCTCTCCAATGTGGTTATCTTATCTTCTAAGGAATTGATGCGGTCTTTATTTTGATCAATCCTAGCTTCCAGACTAGCTAGTTTACTATCAAAAGTACCTATTTTAGTATTAATATCATCGATCTTGTCTGGGATAGAGAGGAGAGATTCAACTTTGCCATTAAGTGCGTCCAACTTATCCATAACGTTATTTAATTTATCCCAGATTAGTCCAGTAAATCTGTCAAAAAATATGGGGTTGCTGTGCAAAAGGTCGGGTAGTTCTGATTTTTGGATATGTTGTTAGTATTGGGCCCATAACATAAAATCCAAGTTATCCACCTCGAGATGCTGCCGCTCGCCGCGGGGCGCGCCACTTGTTATCGAAATATCAGAAATATGGCAATTCCTATTGTTTTTCACTCAATCTCGCGAACCGTTGATTTTACCGAAAGTTTTATATTATTACATTAAAGAAGAATAAATTTGTGACAGTTTAAGCCCAGCAGCAAGTATGTAGCGTAAATAATGGTCAAAATACAGACCATCAAAATAAATAAATTTTCCAAAGACCGATAAAAATTGTGGTTTTTTGAAGTTTTTTCAATATTTCCACAATATAGTTGTTTGAAGCAAACACCGTATTGATTTAGAGAGTATGCCAGTTTATTTGCTATTAATAGAGAATAAATGAAAGTATGAATAACAATACCCCCACCTCAGCAGACCTGCAGACTAAGCGAATTTCCATTTGCTTGATTTGATTTTCACAAACCTATTTAAATATCATTAGGTTTAACTGGTGCCTAGGTTTGCTGCTACAGGGAGGGTAATATAGTATATAAAATAATAATAGTACAGTATGTTAAGAAACAAATAAATGTACCCAATTTTATAAAAATGTGTCTATAAATAAGGAAAAAAACAATAATTGAAAATCTTCGCTATTGGAATAACTTGAGGTTTTTTAAATTTACATTTTTTAATTTTCTCCGTAACCAATAACTGTAAAAAACATTCTAATGTACTAAATTATTTGTTTTTAAGCTCTACAAAATTCTTTAATGATACGATTGTAAAATTGTATGTTTTGCGGGTTAAAAATGAAAAAAATATTCTTACCGGCAAAATACCTAACGAACGGAATACAAAATACCTATGGCCTTATCATGCCGATCATGCTTTGCGAACTCGTTTTAATAAATAAATGTACGTGTGTATGATTCAATGATTCAATGATTTATATAGGCCATTATGCAAAAGCAATAGGCTAAGTCACTTACAATACAAAGTAAATGATAAATAGTCCATTTCTTGATTCACAAATAAAAGTAATGTTTGTACCAAATTCCACTAAATTGGATGATTTTTGGCAATCATCGTGCTAACGGACGATAATAACTTTTTTGGATACAGTTTAGTAAAATCTTTAGTTTTTTTTTACACAGGGTCTCCAAAAAACTTACCTAGTTTGAAAATTTATTTATTTATTGTACTAGATACAAACTACTGTTCAACGACTGATACCATAGATAAGGCTATGCTGATACATTAAATGAAAGGTAATAAAATAAAAGTTATTTTAACACTATCACACCTCAATATGCGAACCATTTGTAGCCTTGCAGACATGCAAGCTATTTTTACTCATTTTTATCATTATTATTTTATGATTTGTATTATAATTTATTACCAAAACTATATTCAAGGTCAAATAGGTGTACGCAACTCTTTGCCAACGTACGAAACTAAAACTTTGAAGTATACTCTACACAGCACGAAATGATTATTACTTATCCATTTGAACAATCGTATCGTGAGTTATGTTTAAAACTATGGAGTCTTTTTCGGACACCCGGTATATATATATATTTATATATGTTATAACAATTTGAACCAACAGTATTTTTGGCCTCTTGGAATACCAAAATGAAAAAGTAAATCGGTCCCGGGTCTAAGTCTTACCATGAGACCTACTGTAATAGCGTATTCCCAATAAGGGAAATTTGCTAATAATCAGCATATCATTTATATTGAATGGTGTGTGTTGAGGAAACCACTATTGAATCTTTTCATCAATTTCGTTGTCTCGAGCAATGCGAGAATGGCGCACGTCAACGTGTTGCTCACTGTTAATGTTCAACTGACGTCATTTTTTATAATATTTCTCAACTTCCTACAGATTTGATGAGGACGGATCATCCCAAGCGCCCATCAAGTTACAACATTTTGTCTGTTATCCCTCGTCCTCGAGTCAATCCACCAGAGCTTTTCATTGTCTTTATGAGGGCCTGTTCGATGGCCTAATCAGACCAAATTCCACACCAGAACTTGTCTGTACGTCTTGCAGTGAAATTTCCGATCTTTGTGAATTTGTTGTGTTCTTCAATATCAATCCTGTATTTTAATTCATATTCAGTATGTCCTGTATAGAACATAAATAAGGCCCACTTGGCGTGGAAAAATTACCCGCTGCATGGAAGATCTGTAGAGTGATTGTAATTGGAAGATCTTATTTGCCTGATCTTTCAGCCTCAATAAACTGTTAACTATGTTAAACTGTTTTATTTTGTTTTCATGTAAAGGAATTGTACCCAAAGCTTAGCTTAAATGTTTATGACGTATACACATTTGACAGCTTTGGGAAGAGTAGTTTTGCCGTTGAAGGTATATTTTGAAGGTCAGTTTTTCGGCATGTGAACCTACATTTATTAAAACGAGTTCGCGAAGCATGATCATTGAAGTATAAGACAAAACTTAGGAAATTAATTTATGTTTTTAGAAACGTACGCGAAATTCTTAACATTAATGAAATAAAAATGTTATACTATGCATTTGTCCAATCGGTACTTCATTATGGAATTATCGTATGGGGAGGAGCTAGTAGCAATATTTTAAAGCCACTGTTTGTTATACAAAAACTAATTATTCAAATAGCTTTTTAATTCAAAAGGCGTTTCCCTAAAATTATTATTCAAAAACACTCAATTACTTTCGGTGCGTCAACTTTTTATCAAAACTTTACTTGTATATACATACTCCAATCAAGATTTGATAGTGACGCCAATCACACATAACTATCCCACCACAAAAGCTGTAAATGTAGGTATGCAGGTACCCCGAGTTTTCAAGTCGGCAAACTTTACCAAAGCTTGTTATATTGCGATTTTTTGTATAGGAATATACCATCAGAGATTAGAGATCTACAGGTATCTCTTCCAGTTTATAAACGTTCGGTAAGCAGTTGGGCTCGATCAGTCTAATACACTTATCAGTTCAGTATACAATACATAACAATAATAAATACACAAGTACGCCAAACAATATTTAGCGTACAGACATCAGTAACTGCAGCTCCATTCACTCGACTACCTTTTACTTAGCACTAACTGTTCCTGTAGCTGTTACATAGCTTAGTTGTAAATAGTATTTTGAATTTTGTATTTAGTTTGAATTTTTAAGAATATTTCTAATTTGATTTGTAATAGAGCTCGTCCTGCGCACAGGTCTTTTACGGCCTATGCGGGACTATTGTTCGTATTTTGTATATGTATATATTGTAAAACATTTTTGGAAATAAAACAGATTTTGATTCGATTTGATCAGGTAATGGGAACGGTTGCTTTATGGAATTTTTTGTTAAGAACGGGTTTTTCGTATTTTTGACCCTTAAAACATACAATTTTACAATATATCTCTAGACCATTTTGTAGAGCTTAAAAACATAATAATTTAGTAATTTAAAAAGTTTTTTTACAATAATTGGTTACGGAGAAAATTAAAAAATGTAAATTTAAAAAACCTCAAGTTATTCCAATAGCGAAGATTTTTTTATTATTGTTTTTTCCTTATTTATAGACACATTTTTATAAAATTGGGTAAATTTATTTGTTTCTTATCATACTATTATTATTTTATATACTATATTACCCTCCCTGTAGCAGCAAACCTAGGCACCAGTTAAACCTAATGTTATTTAAATAGGTTTGTGAAAATCAAATCAAGCAATGAAATTCGCAATGAAGCAGGAAATTCGCTTATTCTGCAGGTTTGCTGAGGTGGGGGTATTTTTATTCATACTTTCATTTATTTTCTATTAATAGCAAATAAACTGGCATACTCTCTAAATCAATACGGTTTTTGCTTCAAACATTCATATTGTGGAAATATTGAAAAAACCACAATTTTTATCGGTCTTTGGAAAATTTATTTATTTTGATGGTCTGTATTTTGACCATTATTTACGCTACATACTTGCTGTTGGGCTTAAACTGTCACAAATTTATTCTTCTTTAATGTAATAATATAAAATTTTCGGTAAAATCAACAGTTCGCGAGATTGAGTGAAAAACAATAGGAATTGCCATATTTCTGATATTTCGATAACAAGTGGCGCGCCCCGCGGCGAGCGGCAGCATCTCGAGGTGGATAACTTGGATTTTATGTTATGGGCCCTATACTAACAACATATCCAAAAATCAGAACTACCCGACCTTTTGCATACCAAAATGTCTTATTTTACTGGACTAAGATGTCAGCAGAAGTAATATTTGCCAGAGTAACAATAGCTTGCTCACTCTTATTAAAATGTGTTTACGATAAATATAACTGAAACATGATACAGTAAACTAAATTGATATTTCATTTGTTAGAACCATGTCTACGTCCTATGTTAAGTTCAGCCTCAGCAAGAAAGGCATTTACAAGATTGAGTTACAGCATAGAAGCCAAAACTCTGACAAGAAATCTATGTAAAACCAGCTTAGGACTTTGTGGCTTTGCATCGAAGACGATACAGCCGGCCGGTGCTGTTGCATACATATCTTCTAAATGTAACTCTAATTCAATGTTTTGTTTCTAAGTTTACAATAATTGTAAAGAATGTGCCTAAACTTTTCAAGATATTTTATAGACATTATGAAGTACACTAATTTTAGATAGAATATTTTAATGATGAGCCTGAAAACTAAGCTTTTGGTGCATTTAAAAATATACAGTATATTTAATAAAATGAAATATGTTTAAAAAAAATTGGATCCATATAGTCAAAGAACAAATTCCTTAAACCGTTTGGTAAAATAAAATAGATTTAGTATACAATCCCACTACACGATTGATTGGAATTGAGATCATTGATAACTTTGCTAACTTAACATTGACAAGATCCTAATGCTCAATACGATTGTTAGATGTTCCTAATAAAA